TCAGACAGTCATTTAACAATGGTTGTGGGGAATACTTTGTTGTAAAAGTAGTGAAAGATTATGTCAAACCATACAGTTAATAATATTTCAAGAAGGCAGCTTAAAAATATTGAGATACTTCTCCCAAACATTTTCATTTTTTTAGTTAGTAATAAATATACATTTCTCTAAACAAGTGCATGGAACTGTAGCTTTCTGTTCTTTAATCCCATTGCAGGGATCGACATTAACGGTTGTCCGATTGCCCGGGACAAGTAAACTCTCAGTTCGGGCAAGTGAAATTGTCGACGTACTTGTCCAATCGGGCAAGTGAAATTTTCTTATACAAATGTACATATTTATTTAGTTTACATTAATTTATAAATAAAACAATAAATCGAACGCTTGATTTCCGCCATGCACCTGACTGACAATGCTTTTGCATCCTTGGTAGCGTTTCTGGATTATACCGCTCATTTAAAAATCAGCTTCGTTATTTTCTTTCGTAGTAAATACGCTCTACGTCTAATAAAATTTTGTTAACTTCTCATTAGGAAATCAGATTATTAATTCAAGCACAGAATATAATTATAGTGTAGCATGATGTATCCTGATCAAGATAAGATCCATGTTTCTTAGCAACTGTCTTCCTTAAGCGTTGCTTTACTCTTATCTCTGAAAATCACGATTCACAAAAGGATCCTACCGAAAATAATTTTTAAAAATATGAATTTTATTAAAAGGAAACGGAGGGTTATTGACTTATTGTTGCATGGCAATGTGTGTTAACAGGTTAAATTTACAAGAACAGTGGTATACATATATGTACAAATGCAGCATGCATCGACATTTTTCAGGTAGCTCAACTTGCCAAATTGGCAGTAGTGTATTTGGTCACATTTTTCATATCATAACGTTTACAGTAATTAATAATTTTCTTCTGAAGTTCTTTCCTAATTTTGGGCAACCAAGTTTTGCATTCGGACAAGTCAAAGTTTGAAATCACTTGCCCGAAGGGCAAGTGAATCTGAAAGTTAATGTCTATCCCTGCATTGTTTTTTTAATAGACCACTGAGTTTTGCAGCTATTATATCACTGACAGGATTGCTTCAGACATCTTCCAGGCTTATCACAATGACACTTTCTAAAAATTTAGACTGACTGAAAGTTACATGTTTTTGCATAAATCTTAATACTTTATATGAAACTGAAAGATACCCCTTCAAAATATAGCAGACACACATGCTATTTCTGCAAACACTTTTATACGTACGTAGATTAGCATATTTTTTTTTCATCCTAAAGGCATTGAACGCTTCACACGATTAAACAGCTGTTAAAGCAAAGTACGATAGGAAAAAAATAAAACATCCCTATTTATCTCGGTAACTGTAGCATTTAAATTATAACATATTCCAGGAAAGGTAAAGTGAAAGTACATGCAGAGCTTGTGTGCAGAAAGAACTTGCTATTAAAAAAAAGTAACTGTATTCTTTTCTCTGTCAATTATGAAAATTTAAAGATAAACTCCTTACCTTGTGTCAACTCTAAGAACTAACACATGAAATACGAACTCGATTTATTTAGTCACATGAGATGAAGTCAGGTGGCAAAGCAAATCGACCAAATGTGTTTACTTACGCGACATTTCATTGGATATCATACTTAAAGCGGTAGCGAGTTGTTTCATCTCGATACTTTTTCATTCCCGGATAAAAAGATATTTACAATTACAGATAGAATGAAACGGTGTACGGGTGGGTGACATTGCCTTTTTTTCTAGTTTCTATACATGAGAAAAGTTCACAAAATATAGATTTAAAAAAAAATTAGTTATAATAATGTATCTTAATGAGTTACAGATCAAGTTTGCATTTCGTTCCGCTTCATTGATTTTTGACGGAATTACGGCGTTTTCAATTTTTACGGGTTTTCCGCAATTTTCTTCTAAACGCTTGTAGATATTGAGCTGATTTTTGGTATGTGGCTTTACCTTCATTAGTTATAGATCAAGTTTGCATTTCGTCCCGCTTCATTAATTTTTGACGGAATTATGGCATTTTCAATTCTTAAAGGGAACCAGATTACACTTGCCGGTAGGGGACTAGTATTGCTAATGCAATACTTTCAGAATGCTTGTTGAGTTTAAAAGCCTTCTAACAAGCCAGTCAAATTTGAGTATTCTTAATAGAGGTATAATAACATTTTTTACATACTAGTATTTAGTTGCTTTCTTTATTTTATTGAACAAATTATTGATAAACATTTTTTTTCAACTTTTTAAGTTATGTGAAAAGGAAAAAAAAAACACGATTCGAATTCTCTCCAAAGCTCATGTTTAGGCGCAAGACTGAACGCATTTTTTAATTTATTTATGACTCTAATAGCTACCCAAGTTATACTGGTATAACCTGGGTTGGGGCAGTTTACGCTGTATAAACCGCGAAGCGGTTTATAAAAAAGCGTAAACTGTTCCAACCCAGGTTATACCAGTATAACTTGGGTAGCTATTAAATAAACAAGTTTGTTGAAGTGCACGTAATTTTTTCAGAAAAATTCGATTTTCGTATAGAAATGGTTCAGACTTCATTTTCGTGAAACATACAAAATAGATTTTACATTTACTTTTCCGTCATTTAAATGTTAATGAAGAATGGAGACTTGACCCATTCATGTTCAAAAATCATATTTTCATGGCGCAAAAAAGCCTCAAATAAACCCATTTTCCACTAAATATGCTTAACTGTCAACTTGAAAAACAGAATATTAATTAGGCCTAATGAGTCGTTCAGTAAAATATATGAATCAAATGTGTTGAAGATGACGTTACTGAAAACATAATTTTAGTAAAATATAACTTTTCCCTGAACTTTGAAAATTGAGAAATATATTGTCTCAGAGCGGAGATTTTCCTCGCCTTGTACGTCCTCTTTCTTTAATGAAACTTTAACAGAATCATCATTGCGTAGTGCTATTGGGCACCTCCTATTTTTTGTTTCGATTGGACAGATATTTGGGGTTTCCCATTGATAAACCTGGGACACTGCCATTCTATACCATTGTGAGTACCCGTCTTTTATCCGCAACTCCTGCTATACCCCTGAATACAATTTAATGAGACTTTCATATAATCTTTACATAGTACACCTTCTATTTTTCTTTTCGATCAGACAGATACTTGGGGTTTTCATAGCAAAACGCAAACACTGACTTTCTCTTATCCGCAACTGCTCCTATATCACTAAACTAAATTTAAAGTCTTTCACAGAATATTTATTACATAATGCCATTGAGCACTTCTTATTTTTGTTCTGATTGGACAGATATTTGGGATTTTCCATAGAAAGAGGAATTTCTGTTCAGTCCCCCTCCCCTCTTCCATCTGAAATGTTTCTTACCTGTATGTATAGGACAAGATATTATACATCTTTTAAAAAAATCATTGCTAACAATTTTTTTTCAAAAGCAGGGTTTATATTTCTTTTTTTAAACGTTCAGTCGGGTAAATTCCAAGACACGGATTATATATGATTTTTTAATGTACACAGGGTTATTTGTCGAAGGTTGAAAGTCATGCATGCAAACACTGGGTTGATCCAGGTCAGACTTGAAACAATGTCACCTTGACTTCAACCCCCTCCCCCCAGGGGGTTTCGGAATGAACCAACTCTTTGAAACCTTCTGGTCTTTGTCTAAATGTGAAAAACTAAATTAAACAAGAGATGTTTGTGAAACACTTATGCCGCACCCTTGAACATATATTAAAGGGTTGGCAAGATCGTACCCAAAACAGAACTTGACCTAGATATTCTTATGATAAATCAGTATACCAAATTTCATTTCAGTATGTGCAACCTCTGCGGAAAAAAAAAATGAACGGAAACTGCAAATACTTGGAATTTTTCCAAGTCCAAGGGATACAACTCTGTCAAAAATTGATCGATCGTACCTAAAACAGAACTTGACCTAGATATTCTTATGATAAATCAGTATACCAAATTTCATTTCATTATGTGCAACCTCTGCAAAGAAAATGAACGGAAACTGCAAATAATTGGAATTTTTCTAAGTCCAAGGGGCATTACTCTGTCAAAAATTGCTCGTTCGTAACCAAAATAGAACCTAACCTAGATATTCTTATGATAAATCTGTATACTAAATTTCATTTCAGTAGGTGCAACCTCTGCAAATTAAATGAACGGAAACTGTTTGTGAACCGACAGACCGACCGACCGACCAACAGACAGCAGCAAAGCAATATGCTCTTCCTTCTTCGAAAGGGGGCATAAAAAGAATTACACTTTGTAAAAAAATAAATAGTGATTTTAAACAGACCCTGCTTTAAATACTTTTTTAAATTTTTAAATTCTTTTATATGGCATGTCAGGGGTCTGAAGTCCCGGAAGATCCAGATTTTTGTGATTATAAACTAAAGTGAAAACTTTTATATACATTATGTACTATTAGAAAAGAAGGAATATCCTTATGACCTTTTAAATTATAAATTATAATTAAAAGACAATAATTAATGTAGTACCGGTAGTGTGTATTCATATATCAATCATGCACATATACAATTAAGACTTTTAAAATGCAACTGGTATAACATTTATACGACTGTAAAGGTAAATCACAAACATACAAAAATAAAAATGCTCTCACACGTTCATTTTAGCAATATCAGTCTTTGCTGTGAACACCGTATGGAATATACATGTCAGGCCCGTAGGAAGCAAATTCAGTTTGGGGGGGGGGGGGGGGGGGGGCACAGCCATACATTTTTCAGTTGACAGTTGAGGGGGCACTACCAAAAATTTCCTGACAAGCAAAAAAAAAAAAAAAGGGTAATCAACTACCAAAAATTCTTTGACAAGCAAAAAAAAAAGAAAAAAAAAGGTTATCAGACATTTTTATTGAGGGGGCACCAGCATATACTACCTATGTTTACTATAGTAATCTATATATCGGCAAAATTATTGGGGGGGGCACGGCCCCCCCGTGCCCCCCCCCGGTTCCTACGGCCATGCATGTATCTAACAAAAGTAGCCGCTCGCCCTTTCAATATGGGGTACCCAACAAAAATTAACACAAGTGATGTATAGCAAAGAGTAAAAAACTAAAAAATGATTTTCAAATTTGAACATCTTGGGTTTTGTCCATTCACTAAATTCAGGCTAACCATGTTCGCACCGTCCCTTTTACAAATTGGCCACATATCGGACAGTTCCTCATAGCTGGAGCACAGTCAGGACAACAGCAGAGATGACCACAGGGCAACATGGCGATTGAGGCGTCGTTCTCTCTGCAGATTTTACAGACACGAAGATTTCGTAACTCTCTGTACTCTTCAATCAAAGATTGGGTGTCTACAAAAATAGAGAGATCAGTTGTTTTTAACAATCAAGTAGAAACAGATGTAATTTTTTAACATAAAGGAAAGCCATTTTACCGTTTTTTTAAGTAAAAAAACAAAGGAAAGATTATAGATTATTGCAGTATAATTATAATGTATATAGTAACCCTTAGTGAAAGAGAGGATAATCTTTGGTTTAGGAAATCTAGTGAACTACATTTAGCTAAGGGACCCGCTGACATTTAAAAAAAGGTTTATTTCAAAATTTAAAAAAAAATACCCAAACAAAACAACAACAAAAAAACAAAAACAAACAAAGGAAACGAAAATAATTATGATAAAAAGCAATTTTGAAAAATGTATATGGGTACTTCAATTATTTAAAACTATTTTCACAATTTAATTTCACTTTTTGGGGGATGGAAAAGGGGGGGGGGGCAAAAACCAGCCCAACAAGGAAGTTGTCACAAAAGAAAAATACACCAGTCTGTCATTTTATTTTCATTATGCCCCCGGATCGAAAGATCCCGGGGGTATATTGTTTTTGTCCTGTTTGTCTGTTAATCTGTTGTCAACTTTAACTTTTTGATTGGTTGGAGCTATGACTTTCATATTTCACATGTGTATTCCTTGTGACAAGACCTTTCTTTGGGTACCATCATATTTGACCTTGACCTTGGAGTTTGACCCACTTTTGCAAAATTTTATGAGACTTTAACCTTGGCCATAACTTCTGAACGGTTGGTGCTTGGGATTTCAAACTTCACATGTGTATTCTTTGTGACAAGGCCTTCCTTTGGATACCAACAACTTTGACCTTTTGACCTTGACCTTGGAGTTTGACCTACTTTTGAAAAACTTTAACCTTGGCTATAACTTTTGAACAGTTGGTGCTTGGGGATTTAAACTTCAAATGTGCATTCCTTGTGACAAGACCTTCCTCTGGATATCAACCTCTTTGACCCTTTGACCTTGACCTTGGAGTTTGACCTACTTTTGAAAAACTTTAACCTTGGCCATAACTTTTGAATGGTTAGAGCTAGGCCTTTCATACTTCACATACTAGTATGTAATTCTTGTGGCAAGACCTTCCTTTTGATACCAACGACTTTGACCTTGATCTAGGAGTTTGACCTTTTTGAAAAAATTTAACCTTGGCCATAACTTTTGAATGGTTGATGCTAGGGCTCTCATACTTCACATATGTAATCCTTGTGACATCACCTTCCTTTTCATACCAACCACTTTGACCCTTTGACCTTGACATAGGAGTTTGACCTACTTTTGAAAAACTTTAACCTTGGCTATAATTTTTGAATGGTTGGTGCTAGGGCTTTCATACTTCACATATGTAATCCTTGTGACAGGGTACCTTTGGATACAAACCACTTTGACTCTTTGATCTTGACTTACTAGTTTGACCTACTTTCGAAAAACTTTAACCTTGGCCATAACTTTTGAATGGTTGGTGCTAGGGCTTTAATACTTTACATATGTAATCCTTGTGACAAGACCTTCCTTTGGATACCAACAACTTTGACCTTGACCTTGATGTTTTACTTACTTTTAAATAATTTTAACCTTCGCCATAACTTTTGAACAGTTGCAGCTAGGGCTTTCAAATTTAACATTTTTTATCTTTTGGCCTGGATTTTGACTTGCATTTGAGAAACTTTAACCTTCACCAAAAGCTGCCATACGGGGGCATCAGTGTTTCACAAACACATCTTGTTCTTCCTTGTAATACTGATATAGATGACTACGGAGAACTCAGGGATTTATCAGCCTATTTTGGGAAATGCCATTTTTGGGGAATTGGGAAAAAATTATCGGCTTTTTGATGAAATTGGGAAAAATTAAAAATGTTGCTTAAATCATGTATTCAGGTGTAATTCATTTAACATTTCAGCATGAACTCTAATTTGGGCAACCAAACAGACAATATATATGATCCAACTTCATACAAGATCAATTATGAATAACAGACTAATAAAAGTAAAATTGACTTCAATGAGTATAAAGTGTTTATACAACTTAGGGTAGTACATGTGCGTATGAGATTCCAATTTAGGTCATTACAGAATCTGTTTCTGGAGAATATATAAATCTCCTGCAAGTATACATTTTCTCAAAGTCCTCTTTTGATATGTATTAATGCATTGAAAACATATTTTTCTATTTGAAATAATGCCTACAGACCTTACCATACACTCGTAGATCAATTGAGTAGGTAGAAATAACTTAATAAATCTATATAATTACACAATATCACCATTTTCAGAAAAACGGAGGAAATTCGGATTAAAAGTTGGCGATGTTTTACAGTGTTTTTAAACATGTGTTATGACTGTAGCTTTGCTTAATGACTTAAATAGATGAATATTACAGACAATCTGACAATTTTCCTTGTGTTTTTCCAAGATAATTAAATACAAAAGCATTGTTCACCAATTGGGAAAAAATACTAGCTGCCAAATTGGGAAAAATTTAACTTATTTTCAATTGGGAATGGGGCCGAATTTCGGCCCCTGAGAAGGTACTGATAAATCCCTGGAACTACACGGTCTCTATTTATAAATGTATCTAATGATAGACTGTTTTGTTTGGGTTTATCATGAGGGGCCCCTGTACGTGCCCCAGGATCATTGGTAGATAAAAATGTTGGCTTCAAACTCGTCAATGACGACATACATTCTGTATCACTCTGATTTGGGGGTGCCGGACTTTGTAATCGAACAGTCGCTTTCGTCTGTATACGCGTATTGCCAGCTGTAGGTGTTGTTTCTAACGCTTTTGTGTTTTCCTCATTCGATAGAATGACATCCATTATGTCCCCTCCAGAGATTTCTCCAACATCTGAAAATTTTCAAGAATTAAGTCATCAAAAGACAATGAAAGCAAACTAACTAACAACTCTCAGTAGAATTACACAGACTGTTCATCATCATTTAATTTTTTTTTGAATTAGAAATGCTTACTTGCTCACCCGTGCCAAACGCCCAAGTGATTACAATTTGCAATTGTTTTGTCGTCTGTCTGTCTGTTGTCAGTCTGTCAACCTTTTTTAATTTTAAATCTTTTCTACAATAACTTATATTAATTAAGTAGCATGTGGACAAAGTGAGGAAGTTTTATGTTGATAGTGCAGGGGTACGTTGAAATGACTTACGTTTTGTAAGTTTCAATAATTCAAAGGCCTCCTTTACCATCTCATGAGAATAACCCATTTGAAGTACACTTTGAACTGAGGATAAGTCGAATACATCGGCGAGGACTTCATTCTTTAATTCTGTTCGTGGTATTGCGGATGCACTGTTCGTATGGGGAGATGATTGCTCTGCGCTTTCAGCTAGTTCTTCCTGAAAAGTAATTTTTGCATTTTTATAAAATTCAGTTAATTAGCTACAGTTAAAATTACATTTCTCAGATTCTTTTGAGATCTTTCAAATTTTCTCTTACCTCTTCTTCGTGTTCAATCTGCACCATTGCCACAAACTCGTCACCTTTGTTCTGTCTCAAGAAAGCACACTTCGGAAACCATCGGGCGTGTTCTTTCCATGGTTTATCCTGTGGTTCCCAGTTGCGTAATCCACCACCACAGAAGAAACAACGGGTGTAGTCCCCATATCCTGCGTAAATAAATCCCGCCATTGCAAGATCACGTGGTTTTTGCATTATACTTGATGGCCAGTCTTTAAAAGAACTAACTCTTGTTGCCATTACAGCATATGAAGGGTACTTTGGACGATCAAAGCTAATTCCGAGTGGATCTAAACTTTTAATAAAGTTGTTGATCTTTTTCTGTCGTTCCCTTGCTTTCTGGTGAGTTGTTTTTATCTCTTTTCTCTTTGAATTTGCATTTTGCTCCATATTTTTTTGGTGACTACATGAGGAAACATCCTCAGTAATAGGCGCAGGTGTTGAATTTTGCAAAACTTCTTGTCGCCGACCCACAGGACTATGCGTTCTTCCGTTGTTTTCTCGTACTGGCATGTTTCCGACAGTTTCATTTTCTCCAAATGGGACATTTCTGGATTGTCCAGAATTTAAAAATGGACAATTTGGAGAGGTCTGCTGATGAATTCCTCTAGGATCGTTTGCTAGTTCCAGTCCATGTGTTTGATGTCCACAGGCAAAGCACGCGACTGTATCCCCTTCGCCAGTGTAGTAGAAGCCTTCTTTGGCAAGTCTTAGAGTGGAAACAGAACAGGCTAGAGGAAAGTTACTGTATGTGAAGACTCGTATCATTTCCATGTTCATAGAATGGAGTTCACTTGTTGATTGCAAACCAGTTGGGCTCATGGATGACCGACTAGAACTCAATTCTCTTTTGACAAATTCTTCTAGGTTTCTCGAACAGTCTTGTACTGGATAAACATGAAAATTTATTGGCTTCAACCATTGAAAATGCTTGATCAAAAATGTCACCAAATCAGTTACCTTTTCATAACTTGTCTTTCCTTTCAGACTCAAAAATGATGATTCCTTTTCCATGTTTTGGTAAATATTAGATTTGTCCAAATATTTTATGTCTTTTAACAACATATAAGGTTTGCTGACGTTGCTTTTCAAAACTGTGTTTTCAAGATATGAGTTCAGAAACCTTTCAAAGATTTCCTCAATTATAAAATGTTTAGACTCGTCATCATTAATTGTTTGAGTTTCTTTATTTTCCATTGCTGTCTGCTGAAAACCTGAACCCACTTTTATCTCACTGCATTGATGACCACAACAACGGCATTTCCAAACGGTCTTAGATTTGCTTTCATTTTCTTTTGGTTCAACTGGTGTCCAACCACCTTGACGGTAAAGATGAATTTCTGTTACACAAATCTCTATAATAGATATGTTGCTACATGTAGTTCCTAGAGTGGAAGATCGACTGCATAATTCTCCCAAAGAAACATTTCTTTTTCCAGATAAATTTTCCATGTTAAATCTATAGTGATTTCTGAAATAAAAAAAAACATAAATAATTGTGCTTTGACAGAAAAAGAAAATTCCTGTTTAATTTCTTTGATATTGTTTCACACATTTCACTACTTCTACTTTTTAGACTGATTTCAGTAAACCTTAGAACACGGGTAGGTAAACTTCACCAATATACCGTACATATACACTATGCTCAGTATAGTCGGATTAATTGAGGAATAACTGTCTAATTTTTTGGTTTCATGATGTGATCAATCGATTGGCTTGCGTGATAATTTGCATAAACGCCGAAGGCGTTTATGCATAAAATTATCACGCAAGCCAATCGATTGATCATCGTCATGAAACCAAAAAATCTGACAGTTATTCCTTATATTTACATGTTCTTGATTCTGCAAAGTCACGTGCTACAAGCCCCGTTTCTGTCTCTATTTGTCCCGCCCTGCACGTGATTTTTTTTCACCACGCCTTTCGATGAACCAGTAGATTTATGTAGAAATAAAGTATTTTTTTATCTCGAACAAAGACATTGGAAATGTAAATATAGCGATCTGAAGGTATGGTACATGTATATGTCAATCGTTGCAATAATTGGTCTTTTCTATTTGTATTTGATAATTGTCCATTTTGCATTGTATATATTTCACCAGTATTTTACAATTTTTATTTGTATTCTATGATTTTTCCATTCTTTACTGTATATTATCCATTTGCATTTTTATTATATACATTATACAACTTAAAATTTATACAACTATACAAATAAAAAATTATACAATACAAATAACCACTTATACAATAGTCATACAATTGGAAAATTATAGAATACAAGTGTCCCAAAACATTGAATATTGCAACGTTTGACATACCATATGAATACCTGTGATTAAAACTATGTTCTAAGGAAAATAGAATATACTTATCAAAAACTTTTAAGCCCCCGATCGTTTAGTTTAATTTCGATTTTGGGTTTCGTTTCCTTTCGATTTTGGGTTTCGTTTCCTTTCGATTTCGTCTCGCAGTTTTTACATGCAGTAAACTCTTTCTTACCTTATTGTTACCGACCTAAAGGACAAGCTCGTAGGAAAAAAAAAAACAAGATGGCAGTTAACACCTTTAAAGGATTTTGGTCCTTCTTATAATATTGCCCAATATCGCAAATTAAAATGCGAGTAAACTGGTGTGTAGATAATTTATTTTCTAATCGATAGCGCCCGAATCCAATGCACTTTTACTTTCGGTGATTTCCTGGAAGTTGGAAAAAAAATCTTTCATTTAAGAGAGAACATATATTTGTTTCTGTGTATAATTTCAGTATATAAACATCTTTTCCAGGCTTTTATAATGAAATGCACGGCTTCTTGATATTCTCTCAGAAAATTAATCATTTGATTAACCATCCAGATTTGGAACTCACTGCTGAAAGAGAAAAAGAAATATTCCGGAGAGTTTATGACAATAAGTCTTAATCAATATGCGATTAAATTGTGAGAAAGATGCGTATAATTATTTTTTTCTCATTAAGGACATGTATTATCATGGCAAAGATGGCAAACTCAAATTGTTTAAACGGATACAAAATGTTACTGTCGAAGATTTTAGACATTTAAAATTGATCTGAATGATTGAAATTCAGAAGCTAGTTTATCGAAAAATTGATAGTTAAAATTTTTGTACAAGCCCTATTTTTTCACTTGAACAAATCCTTGGTAAAAAATTATATTAATAACAAACATATTTATGCTGGTATAAACCCGAATTTTCCGAAAATGGACGTCGTTTGACTTTACCTTAATTCCTATTTTTAGAACAGGGTTTTTTCTAAAGCTAAACTTGGATGAGATATGAAAATGAAGCTTAAAATAGGCAAATGGTGACTGCTTTGGTTTTAAAATTAAAGATTGAAGAATTTCAGACACCGGTTATTAGTATTTCGAATTTGAATTTTTAAACTGTAAATCAAAAATAAAAAAGAAATCAAGACTATCTGTAGTTCTAGACTGTAAATCCCGGAACATGTCTGTCAAGTTCTGACACACTTATTCAGAATTTGAAAATATATATATATATATATATATATATATATATATATATATATATATATATATATATATATATATATATATATATATATATATATATATATACGCCAAGGATAAAAGCAGCGAATATGCACATTTTACTGATAAATATGATTTTTTTTCTTTTGTAAAAATTCACAGGTACTTGGGTCTGGGTTTATAAATATGTATCTACCTTATTGATATGTAAAAAATGTACTTAACTCTTTTTTTTAACATATCAATAATGTACATACATGTTTATAAACCAAGACCCAAGTACATGTGTAAAAATTAGCTTTTAACGCCCTATGAATAGGCCGAGTATTTGATACAAAAGACTGTATTCAGAAAAAAAAAGTCTGAAATGTATCGATTAATCAAAGCACAAAATTTTTCAGATTTATTTGTATTTTAACAATGCCTTATTCATTAACTTTCTCTTTTCATGTATATAAGCAACTTTACTTTTTTTTATATATACATATCAATAAGGTACATACATATTTATAAACCAAGACCCAAGTACCTGTGTAAAAATTAGCCTTTAACGCTGTATTAGAAACAAAAAAACTGTATTCAGAAAAAAAAAACTGAAATGTATTGATTAAATTAAAGTGACACTGTGACGGACAAACGGGAAAATTGACAACAGTAGAATTTTTGCAAGACACATGCAAATTTTGTTCAGTTCTTGAAGATATTAGGTTTCAGAAAATTACAGATTTCAAAACCTAAAAAATCGAATTTAATGGAGAAAAATAAAAGCAAAAAAAATCTCTGTATAACCCATCACAAAAATATTGCTTCACTTCTTCCTCTTTATTGTACGCATGCACTGAAAAGTTGAAGAATTTACCATGGTTTCAATTCCATAGATATAAATGTCGGATGACTGAGAATTTTGATATAATCTTCAAAAAAGATGATCATAACTTATTCCTTACTTCTGCTTGCCCCAATTCAATGTTGTTTACAAGTTTCACGCTAAAAATAAAGGACGCGTGACCTTGACATTGTTGACATTGACGATAAAAACAAAGCGATAGATACAACATCTGTTTTTCCGGCACTTACATTATGCAGTTTTTTTCTTGCTTTACAGTGCAGTTGAGTTGTCGAAACTTCGCTATATTCATATTTCACAGAAATCTTTTGTTTTGTGATACAGTTTTCTTAAAAGAAACACATGGTTTTTGACTCATTATGCAACTTTAAGGGAGCCGACTGGGGTTTTATTGTGTGAAAACTACTATAGAGAAACTCTTTTATTTTATACCATATGTACCTTACATTGACTTCAGTATACATGCAAAGTTTTGTGAAAAATCTACCGTCTGGTTATTCTTTCGGGACCATCCCAAAATACAGGTACATTTACTATAGGATTATATAGGAAAATACCATTTTTTCGCACTTCGGATTAAATTATACAAATGCTACAATAGACTTTTTGCTCAAATTATATTATTTGATGGGTAATACTATATTGTACATTTTGTGCAAGAAATACAAAATTCTACCGCCTGGTTTTCAGAGGGGGCATCTCAAAATGTCAAAATTCATGATATTTTCCTGTTTTTATGAAGTACAACAAAACATGAAAGATACCACAGATTTACATAAAAAATATTAAAAATAATTGCTAGATTCTCAATTTCCTATGTTTAAAATTTCAAGAGCATATATTTTATACTTTTTATTTTATGCCATAATTAATGACCCCGCTTAAAGAACTTCGGTTATTCATAACGTCAAAACACACTATTACGACGTCTATCTACCCATCATTTGAAAAATCGCTTTAAAAATCAGTTATTTAAAAACGTAATTAGATTTTTTAACCTGAGATTTCCTAAATTTGTTATTTTTTATAAATTATGTAAAAATAGTTGCTTTCAAAGAGTAAATACGCTTTATTTTACTATGCTGCGCGAAGTATTGCGCAATGAAAACCCCAGTCGGCCCCCTTAAAGCACAACATTTTACAGCTTTTATTGTGTTTGAACGATACCTTATTCATTAATTTTCTCTTTTCATGTAAGCAAGTTCGTTACGAAGTACAAATTGTACTTCGGGTTCGTTGCCACTGAATATATACAAATTTTACCGATGAATTTATTAGTGAAACCTACTACATATATGTAATAGTCTTTCGATATATAAATATATTCACAACTTATAGTGCTATCAATGATTTACCATTGTTTCAATGACCATTCACACAAAAGCATTTTTATGTTCATGCAGCTATTATCGTCTCGTTTTTCTTTTTAACATCATACTCGATGCTATATGATGTTCTAGAAGCTTCCGTCAATATTAAGATCGGTGAATGACGAAAATAATTTGCACATTTCCCTTTTTAATCGGTTATCGCAACGTATTTCTTTTATATCATTTAAATCAAATTTTGATAGAATACTTCAGTAATGACGTTTTATGAATGAAATATATGAAGATAACGAACAGTATTCAGACTCAAATGTCCATCAAACAATACAAAATAGGAGCAGAGCAAACACGGACCTATAAACATCAGAGGTGGGATCAGGTGCCATGGAGGAGCGAGCATCCCCTGCCGACCGGTCACACCCGCCGTGTGCTTCTTGTCATGATCGGGAAATAACGGAAAAATCCGTCGACAATTCAGTGTGTAAATAATGGCCTAACAATTTGTATGAAAAACGTCAGTCAGCATTTTACTCAATGATAAATTGTATTTGCTGACAAGGTCATTGTATCGACCTTAGAACTTACGAAATGATGACTTTAAACGAGACAGCTGATCTTCTTGTTTCATCAACTTGTTTGTCAATAATTTACCTCGTTTTAGAAATTGTACATACGTAGAGCATGCTCTTGCGTATCGAATCAACTGAGAGATATATACGCCGTATGCAGGTGATGAAGGTATATTGCTGTATAAGTAAGGAAAGT